CAGGAATTCCAGAAATAACCCCAGAAATGATCAAATTCCTACTGGAGAACACAATTTCCCCCCAGCACAACTCAGTGGATTTGCCAATGACTTTTTGACCTGTATTTCACAAAATCTGCAGATAAAGCAGAAGCTCTTGTTTTCCACAGCACAGAAACCTTTTAGTTTATTGAAATTTTCTTGATTAAATCCCAGAACCTTCATTTCTGCCTCCTTGTGCCTCATTCCCTCCATCCCCCTTGTGCATCCTGCCACCCTGCCCTGAGCTCCAGGGAGAGAAATGTGAAGGGGGAAATTCAAGGAACTCTTTTCAGATGAAACTTGAATACAAACGTGGTCTAAATCTACATTTGACCTCAGTTTGTTACTGACCCATTTTCATTTAACACTTCAAAATTCTTTCTACAAGGTCTCTATAAACTGATGGCAAAAAAAAAGGAAATGAGTGAAACAAAAATCTGTGGAGGTATTTATGGACTGTGATGTCTCAGAAAGTGTAAAACCTTTTCCTGACAGTGCTGAGATCCCTGACTGCTCTCTCAGATTTTGTCATCTCGTGAACTGAGCAATGTTCCAACCATCATTAATACCAGAATTAAGGATTTCACCCATTTCTCACAGTAACTGCACCAAAACCAGCACAGCCACCCCATCCTTCAGCTGTAACAGAAATATTTTCTCCCATTAACATATGCTAAGTTTTTCTCCCTAATATTCCATTATTTCCTTCTCCACAGATTGTGATGAGCACAAATACAGAAAAATAGCATTAAAATAAAAGCAAAGTGATGGCTCACACTCAGCAAAAACCAAACACAAACTGAAGGATGCATGTTGGGAATAATTTATTGCCTATAAAAGGTTAAAAAAAATTCCTTAAGTTCACATTTTCTGTGTGGGTTTAAGGGGTGTCACGTTTCAGAGGTAGCATTGTGTAAAAGTAAAACAGAGCTGGAAAAGAGTTAGTGACTTAGTTCAGTGACAGGGGGAACTGTTCCAGAGCCAAAGCACTGACCTGAGCTGTTTTCCTTCCTTGATCACCTCCTTCAGCCAGGAGGATTTGCTCCTTTGTGGGAAAAGAACCCACAAGCCCAAGGCTCTGCCCTGTTCCTGTTGCCTTCTGACCAAAGCAGCTGCTGTTTTTCAGAGCAATAAATCCTCATACTGCAAACTCCTGTTCTTCCATGGAAACACCCATTCTGTAGTGCTGCTTTCAGTATTTTTTTCCCCCCCTAAACTTTTCAGGTTTCACATTTGGCCAATGTGGTAAAACATTCTTGATTAAAGGGACCGACCAGCATGATCCAGCTGTGCTCTCTGCAGCCAGGTGGAATTTGCTCACTGACACCCCAGCTTTGCTCAGGCACCTCCCAGCCAAGCTGGAGGATTTGGGGCAGAAAAAGCAGAACCTGGCCAGGTTCCAGCCCTTCAGCCCTGGCTGGAGGTTGGACATCAAGCTTTGGGCTGGAACAGGGTATGAATTGTGCCAGGAACCCTGTGCTATTGCCTTGGTGCACATTCCTGTCCCCCCGCACAGGCTGAGGCCAGCAGGAGGGTGAGTGTGAGCAGCACTCTGTGCTCAGTGCAGGGACACACAGGGCAGGACATCCCCCAGGACAGGGCAGATCCATCTGAAGCACAACTCCCATTCCCAAGCAGGATTCCCATTCCCAAGCACAATTCCCATTCCCAAGCACGATGCCCAGGATGCTGCTGGTTGTCCCAGCCCCTCAGCTGAGCCCAGCTGCACACTCAGCCTCTCCCCTTGGAGAGCAGCCTCTCTAAAGCTGCTCCCAGCTCAGGTGAGGACAGAACCAGGACATCATTTTCCTCACTCACAGGGCTGCAAAGCCCCAAACTCCTCATTTCACACTTTTTATTGCCTTAGTGAAAAGAAATACTTGGAGAGATTAAAGTGCAGAGCTGCCTCCAGGGCTGGGCACTCCAGAAACCTCGTAGGGTTCATCAGGTGCCTTTAAACCCGCCCCAAATTCACCTGCTGGAGTATTTATTGTTTTATTGGAGTATTTATTGTTTTATTGGAGTATTTCCTGCTACTGTTACTCCTGTCAGACCTGTGGATGTGACTGAAGCATCATCTGCAGGAGAGGAAAGCAGGCAGAGCTCCAGGAAATGGGGTTTAACCATGAGCAAACCTCCAGCACCCAAAGCCCAGGGAGAGCCCGTGCTGCCTCTGGGTGAAATGTCTGCTCTGGGCTACCCTCCCACCTTCAGAAAGACATCACTGGTGTTCCCATGGGTGCTTTAGGAATGAACAATGCCAGGGAAGTCACTGTTCATGGACAAAGAGATGCAGGATGGTCAAACATTGATACCCGGCCACAGGAAGGTGATAACACCACCAACAGGAGCCCTTGTGCTGCAGGGATAATTCACATTACAGTCACACACAGGGGGCTGATTTCTGGCACCCTGAGAAGCACAGGATGGAAGGGTATGGAATGCTGAACTGCACTTTCTGCAGGTGTTTGTTACCATCCTACAGTCAGGGGAAACACCCTGAACCCAAACCCACCCCAGAGCCACCCTCACTGCTCTGCACCAACATTTAACCACCACTGATGGTCACAGTTCTTCCATTTCTGTTGGAAATACCCACTGCTACTGAAAAAAAACAGCCAAGGGGCTGTGGAGCATCTTCCTCCCCAGATTTTGTTTCAGGGACACAGTTTCAGTATATTTTTACACTATAAATTCTACTCAGGGATAGAATTTGTACTCTTTTTTTTCCCCGACCGTCCTGTAGTGCTGTCAAGTGTGCCAGGCTGTGTTTTGTCCCCCCACAGGACATCCCCAGGGATGGGGTGGGCCCTGAGTGCAGCTCATCTCAGCTGCACATCCAGGAGGATCCCAGCTCCCCAGAGAACAGGGACTGACATCATTGCTTGTATCTAGCAAACAGTCCATTCAAAATTCATTCCTTCCATTTGTTTGGGTATGAAATAGCAGCAAGACAGCAAAGTAGGAATCATCAATGGAAGTTTTTCCTGCAGGAAGGCAGATGATTTAATTGACCATGAAATTGAGAACTCCTGTTAAAGAGTATCCTGCTCTCTGTCATGGGAATTCAAGTGGAAGAAGCAGGAAAACAGGGTCCAAAAAGTGGCAACTCCCAGCACTATTTTATGGTAATTTCACAGAAAACAAGAGGTTTCATTGTCCGTGGCACAAATTTCCTGTCTAAAGAGAACAGCAATAGAAACCATTGTCAGCCTGGCATAGAAAACCCTTTATAAATGAGTTTTTCAGAGAATTCCAGCTCAGCCCTGTCCTATCTGTGAGCTCTGCTCACAAACCTCATTCCCACTCAGAGTTTTAATGCCCCAGCTCAAACACAGGCCTGGAACTCTGGGCTTTCCCTGTGGAAGGGTGGCTCTGTTGGGAACTTACAGAACTGTGAGACTTTTGGTTGCTGAGAACACCTTTTAAAAGCATTCCTGCCCTTTCTGCAGCTGGTATTTAACAGTATTGCTAAAAGCTCCCCATGCCTAAGGAGAGGAGAGACTGAAAACCTGAAAGATCAGAGCTCACTACTGATAATAAACAGAAAGAGCTGAACAAGTGATTAGGGAGGAACTGATTAGACTGAGAAAACCCTAAAACCTGAGTCTAATCCCAGTATTAAAGGAAAAAAAAGATGTTATTTCCCCAACACTCTGGATTTTCTGAGCTACACCTTGGACCTCCCACTGAAATTAAGGGTGTTACTCACTGCATGAACAAGGATTCCCCAGAGTCAATTATCATTTGGCATAAATGGGAGGATCAGGTTTTTTACCAGACTGAAGCATCTGTGTGAAAAATGCTTGCTGAGGGGCATCCAGGTTGGAACTGGAGCATCAAAGCCATGGGCAGGCACCTGCAGCACCCCACAGAACCAACCTGGAGGAGAAGAGCTCCAGGACTGAGACTGCCCTGGACTGGTCCCCACCCTTCAAGCACAGCACCCCAGCCTTGGCCAGGCATTCCCTGGACACCAGCACACCCCATGAATCCACCTGGACACCTCTGCACAGCCATCCCACCACAGGACTGAGGGGATTCAGTGCCAACAGCTCTGGGAAAGAAGAAAATTCAGTTCAGCCCCTGCCTGCAGATCACAGTTTAGAAATGGCATTTGCCAAAAAATGCATCAGGCAGGGCTTCAAAGCAGATCTGCAGAGCTCACTTCCAACACTGGAAAACCTTGCAGGGTGCAATGACAGCTGTGGAATCCTGACTGGTAAACTGGAGCAAAGTTTGTGGAAAAATATATACCCAAGAATTAAAATAATAAGCAGTACTTTAGCATTCAGGCTTTGACAAATAAATACTGTGACTACAATCATTAAACTCTAAAGAGTGTAAACATCCAATCCCATTGCTACTGTATTAGGAAGTTGTATCCTGCAGCTATCAGGGTTCCCATTTCCACCTCATTTGTTCCAACACTTATCACTGCTTCTTTGCATTAATAATTTATTCATGATAATTCAACTTTTTCAGTTAGCCTTTCAAGGTTTTTTCAGCTATTTTGGTCAGAAAAATGGAAGATTTAACAATCTCAAATCAGAAAACAAAAACCACTTCAGTTTCATTTCAGGTTTTCAAGCAGAACTCAGAGAAAGCCCGTTATTCTATTTGGATCCCCAATTTTTAGTCCACCTACCTGAGTAAAAATGGGGAAAAATATAATAAACAGGCCTGGGGAGCACGTGGAGCTGGAGAATTCACTGTGTGTGTTTCCCACTCTTGCATCCCTGCTCAAAAAAGACTTTGCTACAGAGCCAGAGTTGTTCTGGAGAGTCAAAGTTAATCCTGCCCAAGGCCAAGCTGCTACCAGTGAACCCTTCCCTCGCCCAGCTCTTTCATTTTCCACACCCAGCACTGCCAACTCCTGGGCACTGCAGGGCTGTGAGGAGCCAGGGCTGAGAACACTGCAGAGCAAGAGCCTCTCTCTGTGTCTGTGTCTCCTGTGCACCTCGCTGGGGTTTGTGCTGTGTCTCTCCAGAGCAGAGCATCACAAACTGTCTGAGGCGTTCTTCTCCGACAGCGACGAGAGGCTGAATGAGGTATCGTCGGGCTCCGGGGAGGTGTGGTTGAAATCCATCTCTTCCAGTTCAGGAGGTAAGTCTGAAAGCAGAGCCTACAAGGGAAAAACACATCTAATGTCTGGTATATTCACTGTTAGGTGTGGTTTCTGTGTCAGCGGTGATTTAAACAAAGTGGGAGAAAATTATTTGAGTTTTTCGATCATAATTTGAGCCTCTGGAACAAACCCAAGGGAGGGACAAAACACAAAAGGACAAACATTTTCTGATATTAAAGACAGATATTAAACCTGCTGCAGGATTTACCTGCTGCTGTTCCTTATCATCTGCTTTAATTGCAAGTATCAAACTCCGGGTAAACGTCTGCAGCTCAAAGTATTTCTGTTTGTGGCTCTCCAGCTGACTCTCGATGAACCTGACTTCTTCATTCTGTGGGGAAACCAGAGAGCTCTGGGAATGATCTCAGAACCAAGGAATCCTTTAGGCTGGAAAAGGCCCCTAAGGCTGAACCCAACCATCCCCAGCACTGGCCATGTCCCCAGGTGCCACATCCACGTGTCTCAAACCCCTCCAGGGATGGGGACAGGACACAGCATTGCAATAACCACACCTAAACAGCCCTGGGTTAAAACTAAACTGTTTTTAGTGACAATGACAACCAAGGCCCAGATCTCTTCCTAAAAGTGATCAGGGGGCTGAGAGAAGAGACAGCAAATAAATTCAATTATTACAGCAGAAGGCTTGACACAAAAATCAGGGAAAATGACTTGAAAATTCCTCAAAGCTACCACGAATTAAAAGATAACATCCTCCAGCAGCTGGGTTTGAGGTGGATCAAGTGTCAGCTCACCAAGCTCCTCAGCATCCCCTGGTTACAGAATAAACAGGAATATCTCAGAGTGACAGAACAGTCTGGAAGGGACCTTACAGATCATTCAGTTCCAACCTCCACAGAGTTGTTTATGGGGCTGGAGCTGGATGTAATATATTACAAAGTGAGGAAATATCAATAAGTTGTGTGCTTTGGCTAAAAAAAGCATTTTCCCAATCTATACTTGCAAATCTCTTAATTAAAAATTCAGATTTAGTAAGTATTTCTATTTATTCCAAGTATCTCTTCTCTTTTAAACTTATTGGATCAAAATGTTAAACCTGTTGATCAGTGCAGAGCTAAAATTCATTTTCTCTGGTTATTCCCTTTTGCAAAGATCATGAAAATCAAACTGTTTATTTAGGTTACAAGATCAAAGGCACTGCTCATTTTTGCAGAAGGGCTCTGCTTAATAGCACCAGCTCATGAGAGAATAATGAAAAAAATATGGTATTCATGCTCACACTGGCTGGAATTCAGCTTTAGATGACATGAAAAGCTGTGACTACATGATGCTCTAAAGGTTTGCAACAAACCTTTAAAAATGGTTGTATTTTTGCTGGTTTTTTTCCCAGAAAATTCTCATTTTTTTTCAGTGAAAGCACTGCTCACCACACTGTTCTAGCTGATAACAGCTCTGGGAATGAGAGAAGAATATTCTGAAGTTTCCATAAAAAATCAGCTGAATTCTTCCCTATGGATACTTAGCAGTTGCCTGTTTAGCTCTAGATTTTGCCCAGCCCAGGAAGAATTCAGATTTAGGCAGAAAACTCAGGGAGTAATGAGTGCTGTCAAACAAAGGCCTGGCTCTGCAGGGCACTGTCACAACAAGCCTCTCACTGTGCTGACAGGTGACATTAAGAAAAGGTCATTCCCTCTCCTGATTCATTCTCCACTGCCCTTCCCAGGAAAATGCTGCTGGAAGGAGGAGTTTCTGTTCCAAAGAGATGATCTGTTCATTATTGTGGTAATTGATTATTATCAGGAGAGCAGACCTGGTTTCTAAGGGAAAAACCAGCACTGGGGGTAAAAGCTGAAGGAAAGGTGGAATTGTGGCAGCTCCTGGGAGAGCAGCACAGACACAGCCTCAGCCTTGGGCTGGAGCTGGCAGGATCCAGCTGCTTCTCCTCCCTCCCACAGGCACCACTTCCAGCATTCCTGGGGAATCCTCCTCCTCAGACCCCCTCTCCAGCAGAGGATCCCTTCCAGCTGTTCAGTGCCTTCCAAGCTGGCAGCACCACACTGCAGGAAAAGCACCACAGCATTCCCAGAACAATTCCAGTGGGGTGGCTCCATAAATGCCTTGGCTGGGACACATGGAGGGAGCTGCAGCTCTGTAGAAATGGGGTTTTCCAGGGGAGGCTGATCCAAAGAACACTTCCAAATGCATAAATATGGACATTTTCACCTAATTCACAAAAACTTGGGGAGATTTTTATACTGAGTTTCTAAAGATACCTTAAGCACAGTGTTAAGGCTAAGCTTAACACTGACTAAGACTCAGAAATACCTCCCATTTGGGCTGGGTAAGGATGAAGTGGCTGGAGGTGGGATGAGGGCATGGTGTGCACACTGGGAAAACAGCAGAGGAGCTCAGGATCCCACAGGCTTTTGCTGAATTCCTGACAGTTCCACCCCTGAACTCCCTGGGGATTATCCCAATGTCCCCAACATGGCCCAACCACTCACCTTGTAATCCAAAAGAGAACTCATCTGATCCACTTCAGAATTGCTGATCAGATCACTCTCCTCATCGTCTAAAATTTCTATTTTCTGAAACAGAAGCAAACAGTTCATTCCAACACACAGAGGAGCCAAACAAACGGGGATCCACATCCCAAAGGGGCAGGAGGGAGGAAGGAGGCAGGATAAACGATGAAGGACAAATGACAAAGGAGGAAGGAAGGAAGGAGAGCTCTGTGCTGGCTCCTGAGCCATGCAGCCCCATTAGATGGCAATCATGCACCTCAGCCAGGAGATCCAGCAGGAATCCAGTGGGAGCTGCTGCCATGGAGACCCAGGCTGTTTACAGAGGAGGAGCTCCCTGGCCCAGCTTTTTGACTTTGAGTTGCACATTTATCCCCTCACAGCCCTTGCTCTGCTCTGCTGTTGCAAAGGAGGGTCTGGAAATAAAGCTCTGGATAAACCAGCCCTCCTGCCCTGAAGAAATCAAGGAGTTCTCCTCTGACCCTGCCTGGCCATGTACCCTTAGCTGTAAGGGTGATGATCCAAAGGACAATTCCAAATGCATAAATATGGACATTTTTACCTAATTCATAAATATTTGGGGAGCTTTTTATACTGGGTTTCTAAAGATACCTAAAGCACAGTGTTAAGGCCAAGCTTAACACTGACTAAGACTCAGAAATACATCCCAAGTTTTTTTACTGTTTTTAATTGTTTTGACAGTTGTGAACATTTATGAACATGTCCATAACAAGTTAAAGCAATTTTCCTATTTTTTAGGATGGTGTTTAACCCAGTGTAGGGAAGGGCCCCCAGTGACCCAATCCATGTCCATGGGTCATTCCTGAGGTGTTAATTCAGGTTTTTCCTGCAGCATGTGGTCCCTCCTGCCTGCACACCAGGAATCTCCCTGAAATCACTGAGGAGAAATCCTTCCAGGGACATTCCCAGCTCTCCCTGGCAGGACCCACCAAGCTCCCAAGCCTGTGCTGAAGGAAGGGAGGATAAAGCACATTTTGTGTGCTCCAGTGTCTGCCAGCCCAGCTGAAGTGACAGCACTCAGAGCTTTGCTGTCCCCGAGTTCTGCTGCTCCATCAGACCCTCAGGAACACTGGGACTCAAATATTTTTGGTTTCAGACTCAGCTTGAGGAAAGAGTCTCTAAATAACTGCCAAACATTCACATTCCCCTTCTTAGGCACACTTTTTAAAATAGGAGGGGAAGGAACAGATTAGCATTTCAAATAGGAAAACCTCTTATGCAAATACAATGTATTTTAGTCCAATTTTAAGTGCATTTTTATAAAGTTTTGTTACAGTGTTTCAGAACAAAGTATGCAGAAATTCTTCCTTGGTTTTGTTCATTGTTGTATCAAATGACAAAATTCAGGCAGGCTGGGGGGCTGAGTCTCTTGGGCACCATCTCTCCAGACCATTTCTACTGAAGGTCTGAGGGGTTTTTCCTACTGTGTTTTAGAATTTTTAGTACATTTTTAAAGCTCAAATAGGAAGGAGTTTTAACACACACAACTGAAGTTGTCACCTAGTGAAAAGCACAAGTGCTGGACAACAACCTCAACGTTAATTAAGGAGTTATTAATTGGTGGAAAAGGAAAGGTAAACATACCACATTATCAGTGGAAACTGGATTCTGGTCATCATCTTTGTGGCCAATTTCTTCATTTTGAAGAGCTTCATTTGTCTCTTCTGCAGAAATAAATTGGTTTTGTCAGATTTCATTCCAATTTTATGCTGAAGGACCATTAATGGTGTTTACCACTAAATGTCACAGCTGCTAAATCCAACAGCAAAGTCATGGTATCAATGTCTAATCATAAACAGAATATCTGCTTTATTAAAAAGACATCTTGTCACAAGCATTTCAGGCCAACATCAAACCAACTGCCCCCTGAAACAACAACAAAACTCTCAGTTATTCTCTGCACCAAAACCTTCCCATTCTTAGGTTCAGGTTGGAATATTCAAAGGTGATACAGAGTTTCACATCAGAGATGTGCAGAAGTTGGGTTTTTTTAAATGAAAATGAATTTCTACATAAAAAATCCTGCATTCCCTGGAATTCTGGGGTACATATCTAAATCCCACTTCCCCCTTGCAGACACTGATGAGTTTTGAGCCAAAAATGGATCAGATTATGGCAAATGCTTACCCCAGTAAACCTAAAGTGCTTTTTTATGTATAAACACTGAAAACAGAGCAGATTTTACCCTGGTATTTCAGCCACAAAGCATGAGATGATTCCACTGACCTTAAAGGCCAAGGAGAACACAAAACCCAAAGAAAGGTAAGTCTATTTACCCCTAAAATTGAAGTTTGTTTCTCATATTTACTTGACTTCTGCATATTAAAACATAAATCTATAATACATAATAAATATCGAGAGGAGAAGAGGGAAGGGGCAGCAGGGTTCAGGTGACTCCAGGGTCTGTCACCTCCACACAAACACAGGGATAACAAAATTTCCCTGGGATTGCCAAAAACAGGGTGATGTTTAGGCCAGACCATCGAGAGCCAGTTCATGGTTTTAAACAACTTTCAAGTTAAAATCTCTGCACTGAGCACATTTGATTGGGAATTGTTTCAAATGAACTCAATGTGCCACTGGTCACAGCTCCATAGGACAGTTTGTGCCAGGAGCACAAGGGATCAGAGGGAGCAAGGAAGGGTGGAGGTCCCAGGGTGAGGTCACTGCTCAGGGACATTCCAGGGCACCAGGAACTCTGCAGCCCTGGCAGTCACCCCTTGGATTCAACAGCTGAAGGAAGCAGCTCCCTACAGCATTGCCAACTCCTTAAATATTCACCCTGAGCTCACAGAACCAGCACAGCCCCAATGGCCTCCACCTACACACTGTGGATTCAATTAACACACAATTAAAAAAGGTGAGGCAATATGAGAGCTTTAATGATCCATTTTGCATCACAGCACAATTTATTTTTTTTATATTTACGCACTACATTTTAAAAGCAGAAGCCATCAACTTTAATCACTCTAATTAGGTGACCAAAAATTGCTTTTGTCTGTCTTTCAGAGCTGTTTTTTGCTGTTGTGGTTTTGGTTTTTTAATAAATTAGGATCAAAAGTTACAGTTCACAAACATTGGAACAATTCCCTATCTGGGACTAACCCATGGCTATTGGGGGAAATTTTTCCAGGAAGTTCAAACCCAGCTGGAGCTGCAGCAGTGGAACCTCCTCCTTTGAACTGGAGAAATGAACAGAAATAATTGTAGTGGAAGAATAAAGGGATGAAGGTGGGATTCCTGGGTGCTGTGGAAATCCTGTTGTTTCCTTGCATTTCCTTAGGCTTTGACACTAACAATGCTCCCAAGTGTTCAGCCTCACCTTGCCTGGCTCTACAACATGGAGTTATTCCTCACTTGATCTGCAGACACTTCAGACTCTTCCCTGTCACCATCTTCTCTCAAGCAGATCTGACTTAAATCAGCTCCTTCCACACCTCAGGCAAATCAAGGACTCTGAGATTCCTCATCTCACTTGGCTTTCAATCACTTGACCCATTTCTTTATCATCTTATTCCCTCTACACTCAAGTATGACAAAGCTCCCAAACTCATTCCCAGCCGCCTCAGCTCCCCTGGCTCTTCCCTTCAGACTGTTCTGAGGACATGACAGGATCCAGCCTGGCACACTGAGCTGCACAGCAGCAGCAGCAGGCCCAAGGTCAGACTCTCTGTTAGCTTGGAGAGCAAAGGCTCCATTGATCTCCCCCAGGCAGAGGCACTGGGAGCAATTAGTGAGTGGGGATGTGCTGGGCTCAGGGACAGGAGGGGCAGGGAGACATCGATCCCATGGGCTCCTGGGGGGAAAGGGAATTCAGCTGGAGGCATTTCCCACTCCAGATCCTGCAGTTTACTGAGGACACCCCCTGTGTGTGCAGTTCCAAGGCTCCTGGGCTGTTCCCTGCTCCTGGCTTTGATCTGCTGGTTGTGTTTGCCTGTCAGACAAAGCAGCAGGAGGCCTGGGCAGCTCCTTGTTCCAGCCTGAGCCGAGGGGTTCCCTGCCAGGAGAAATGGGAATGCACAGTCCCAGCAGCAGCTCCAGCCCCACCAGTGCCTGGGGTGGCTCAGGATCACAGGGATGGAACCATGGAATCACTGCATGGGTTGGGATGGGGGGGACATTAAAGCTCATCCAGTGCCACCTCTGCCATGGGCAGGGACACCTTCACTGTCCCAGGGTGCTCCAAACCCCGTCCAACCTGGCCTTGGACACCTCCAGGGATGGGTGTCAAATGGAATGGCCATCCCAGCTGGCTGGGGAGAGCTGAGCAGTTGGCAGAGAGCATTTTCTAAATCTGGATCCCTTGGAAAGAGAGGCTTCCCCACGTGTACTGGCTGCCCAGCTCTCAATTGCACCAGCAGAACGTGAACTCTTGACTTTGTTTCAGATGAATCTGGCAGAAATGGGGCTCTCATGATCAAAGGTTTCTCCAATCTTTGTACAACAAACCCAACAAAACTCAGAGACACAGAGGCAGAAGAAAGAGACCAAACAGTACCTTCAGCCCAGGCGGGGTGGAGCACTTGTGACTCTGTCAGACGTTTTTGAATGTGTACAACAGAATCCAAAGCATGCACACTGCACAAAATTGAAAATATAGGCACAGTAGTAACTGCATTCCAAATACCTTGTGAGCTTCCTTCAGATAAGCAGATTGATACTTCATCATTCCTATCATTATCATCCCCCACTTCAGTAGCAGTTTCCTCTCCTGGATTAAGTGCTGATTTAGAAACAAATTCAGATTGATCAGAGAAATCAGCAGGACCTCCTCTAGGGGGTGGGACCTCAATCCCCATTAAACGATATTTCCGTCTTCGATTCCCAATCCAAGTCTTGTAAGAGAAATAAACATGAATGATATCAGAAACTATGACAAAAGCAACAGGCCCCCAACCAAGTGACATCAGCACATGTGGCCTACAGGAGCAAGGGTGCAGCCAGCAGCTCAGGGAGCTGAGTATTCCCCAGTATTTCACCCTCCTGAGGCTGCTTCCCCAAATCCTGTGTCCAGCTTTCCAAGGGAAACAGGGAGGTGCACAGCAAAAGGAAAAGAAGCAATAGGCACAAGTGGCAGCAAGGGAAGTTCTGACTGGAATTGAGAATATAAAAGAAAAAATAATGTTTTACAGTGATTCAGAGGGACAGTTTGTCCATAGAAGTTTTGTAGCTCCAGCCTTGGAGGTACTCAACGTTTCAATGGACAACATCCTGAGAAACCTGACTTGATTCCAAAGTAAATCCTGCTCCAGATAAAGAGCAGGACTAGGTGACTTTGTGAGGTCTCTGCCCCCCTAAATTATTCAACAAATTTAGCATAAGATCTTTGATTCAGGTTCTCCTATTCTGCAACTTCCATAAGGGGACTGAAGCATCCGATGACCCAAACACCTGCTCTGTTCTAGGATTTCCTACAGCACAGAGGAGCTGGCCAAGGTGACAGATCCACAGCACTCCCCTTGCAGGACAGAAAGGAGCTTGGAAGGATAAAGCTCAGAGCAGCTCATCCTGCAGTCCCCTTTGGCTGTAAAACAGAGCTTTAGGAAAAGTTGTTTGCAATGAGTGCAGAGGAGCACACTGGGAACAGTCTGGGAGATGAAACCAGCCCAGGAATCCTGGAAACCCTGCCATGGTGGGATGGAGATGGATGCTTTAAGTTCATCTCACATCAATAAAATTGAATTTCAAAGGAGAAAAAAAAAAAAAAAAAGAAGAAAAGACCCACATTCTAAATTCTCCAAGTGGATCTGTACACCTGGTCATTAATTTGCCTTCTCTGATGAAGAAACATTTACACAAAAAATTATTAAAGATTCAGAGTTTAACATGATGTAACAAGAATTGTCTGCAACTCTTCACCTCCTGAGGCTCTCCTGTCCCTTGTGTCACTCAAGCTTTCAACCTCTCATCTCAACTCTGCTCAGCAGCCCCTGTACCCCAGACCCTCCATTCCATCAAATCAGCTCCACTGGCAACCAAAAATCCTTCCCAGAGCCAGGAATCCATTTCTTTACCAGCTGCTCCTCCCACTCTCCTGGGGCTGGCTCTCATCCCCCTTCCCACCACCCACACCCCCAGAAACAGGAGCAGCAGCTCCTGGGTTTGAAAACATGACCAGGCCATGGCAAAATGCACAACCTTTCCATGAGGCCTCTGCTCCAAATGAGTAACCCAAGACATTAAAATAGTTCAGGATATTTTTTAAAGACACACTAAGCATCACTCTGGCCTTATTTCAGAAACCCTGTTCCTCTTCCTAGGGTTCTGAGAAAGTTGAATAAAAAACTTTTTGCTTATAGTACCTTGATTACCAAAGAGGAAAAAGTAAAGGAATATTAACAGCAGTCCCAAGTACTAAACACAGTTTCATGCTGTGCCAGCCTTGGAAAAAAAAAAAAACCAAGCCTTTTAAAGCTGCATCTCTAACAAGCTGAAAGATAACATGCTGAACACTATTTTTAGCAAATCTTTTTTGTTGGCTGGTATTTGCTTTCTCAGCTTGCTGATTTTCCTCTTTGAAGAATGCACAACAGGTATGCAGAGAACTACCTAGATCATTTTTTTTCTATTACTTACAGTTTGGGGAAAAAAAAATAAAGAAAACCCACAAGCAGCCCTTTGAGATCTGGGTATCTTTTTTCCAAGCAGTGTATTGCCATTCTTTAAATTTTCCCATCTTCTTGTGATTTTAACAAACAGTGCTAACAAAATTTAAAATTCAATCTATCTCTTTTTTAGTAAAGAAGGCACTTGGGGGAAAGGCAGATCTTTTCACAGACTTTGCAAAGCAGAAAATCTTTCATTCAACATACTGAGAATGTCAGAGAAGATGAACATGTTTTGATAGTGTCTCAAATTAAATGGGGAAGAGAAGGTTCCACATCCTGTGTGCTGTGCTGAACAGAGAACATTCTGGAACAGCAAAACAGTGAGGGCAAGAGCAGACTGGAATTGCCATGTGGGAAATCAGCTTGAGAGTTCTATCCCTAAAATACATTCTTATCCCTAAAATACATCCTTAAAGCCTTCCAACAAGGTCTGTGAGTGCATGGGATCATTTGTGGTCTGTTCTGGTGCAGGTGAGGCTGAGCCTTCTGGGTGTCCTGGTCCCTGCCCTGAGCACAGGAAGATTCCAGCAGGAGGAAAGGGCTGCACTGAACTCCACAGTGACAGCCCTGGTGTGCCAGTGTCCCCAAGGGAACAAACCAAGGGTTGTGCTGTCCAGGAGGTGCTGCCAGGGGGAACAGCTTCACCTTCAGAGAGCAAAGGGAAGTCCTTGGAAAACAAGGAGCAGCTTTGCTCTCTGCAGAGGAAGGAGTGATTCTCTTCAGCCTCCAAAAGTACAATTGGGCTTTTCAGCATTCCTGTGTGCCCACAAAAACAAATAACCAGATGGGTGTTCTGAAAGCAGCTTTGGGACCATGTGGATGCAGCACCAAGGCAGAGGTCTCCCAGCAGGAGAGCTTCACTGAGGGCTCAGCCCTGCTCCTGCAGCACTGCCAGGAATTCAGGAAACAGCTGCAAAAAGAGGATGAAGCCTGGAAGGAACAATCCCAATTGTCACACCTGTCACAAGGGAAAGGAAGGCTCCTGTCCTTGTCTGACTGCAAACAATGGGGCCATTTCCTGAGGCTGGGATGGGGAAAGAGACCCCAGAGGTGCTGCTGGGTGTCTGCTCAGCCAGGACACAGTGGCACCACCCCAGCCTCTGGAGGAGGTGATGTGCAGAGGCTCTGGGAGCCAGGTCATCTCCAGCACACCTGGGCCTCCCTCAGCCCCCTACAGCAACCATCAAACTGAACTGACCCAGAATCCCTCCATCACACCTCAACCTGCCCTCAAGACAGCCTTGTAACAGTTTTTTTTTCTATTTTGGAGCATTTTCTTTCATACAATTTTCCCTATAAGCATGAATGAGAAGTATTTTCCCTGTATCTTTAGAAAAGCCCTTTTTTGGTATCTTATTAGCAATGTAAATAGTACCTTTCAGTCTTCTAGGATCTCCCTCAAAAATGTAACACTTTTACTTAAAGTCTTCCTCAAGAGAATGTCAAACAGCTCCTAGTGCTGCTTCTGCTGCTGATCAATAAGACCCTGACCTGAGGGCTTTTACTAAATATGGACTGCAGAAAAGGCAGGAGAGCACTTCCCAACATGGTCATTCATTATGTAATACATGAAATCTATTTCAAGCTTCCTCATGCAATTTTTAAAGCCTTTCATCTGTCCTATTTTTGCTCCTGCGACAAGATAAGGGAAGACTCTGGATTTCTTACCCGAACTATTTCACAGTCAACATTTAATTCTGCAGCCACAGCTTCAATTTTCTCTCTGCAGACTGAGCCCAGGCTGGTCATGCCATTGTCCCAGTATTTCTTTAGGGTAGCTAAGTCTCGGTCACTAAATTGTGTGCGGTCCTGTAACTGCAAGATAAAAAAAACACTGTTAGATTGAAAAAAAATCTGCTTATCCTGAGCATTCATGTCCACAGGTCTCTCACACAGTAACACACACGTTCTACTGTCTCCATGGCTCTTCTTCTCTTCTAAGTCTCCCTTAAGAATTTGGGTTTTTTTTTATTTCTTTTTTTTTATCCAGGGCACTTCAGAGTTCCCTGGGATTTGCTGTAAAGGCAGTGGCAGCATTAACACAAGTTTAAGGCACTTCAGCTTTGTTTCCACCTGATTTCTTTGGTAATTTGTTTTATCTCATTCTATGGGGCCTTACTGAAAATAACTTTTTTCCCCCCTTGTGCTGTTTACTCTCTCCACCCAATTTATGCAAATTACTCCTTAAAGGCTTTTCAAGTTTCTCACCCTCCCCCCTAAAAGTTCTTTTATCTTACTGCAAACTACAACACATGCATAATTCAAAGGATTCTGACTTCCTAAAGGGAATACTTTAATGTTTATGTGGTGAGCTTGAGTTTAAATTGGTTCCACTGTTTATCTTTGAGTTCCCAAACTCTTTGTCTATGTTTATCAAAACATGTGATAGTGGATCAGTGATAAAAGGAGTAAAACTGAAAAAGAATTCCTAAACATCTCACCACTGTTTGAACTGGTGTGAGCACAGAAAGTATTTCTCTGGTAGAGCTTCCAAGCTTTAAAAAAACCCTTTCACACAGAATTTTATCTAAAATCTACAGTTTCATTACACCAACCCATGTTTTTCACTTTTCCTGCTACTCAGAGGACAAGCACTGAGGAGCCCCTGTGCTCTGCCAAGTGAGCAGCTCTGTGGGATCTCAGAGATCCTGAAGGATCATCATTTCCACAGCCTGCTCTCAATAGCTGCACCAGCATCATGGATGGGATCAGTGTCACTCCTTAAGCTCAGCAGATGTAAATGACACTTGAGCATGTCCAAATCTCAGCTCCAGATTAGCTGCCTTGGTGTAACACGCTGTGCCATGGGCCTTATCAGCACTTTCTTAGGGAAATCACAAACTACCTTCAATTACAGGATCATCCCCTTGACATGGATCATACCCAAGTTTGACTCCTACATTATAAACTGCTTAAAAATTACATAATGACTTTTGTCAGAAAATAAAGGATAGAATTTCTACATTGTACATGTAACTAAGCTTCCATCAATTTAGTTAATAACCTTCCCATGCTTAATATCATCAGAGGAAATGAGGGACCAAGAGGAAAACCTCAGAGCCCTACAAATATCATAATAATCACCATTATAGGAGAAAATATCAGAAGATAATATTGGAAAGCTTCATATTTATGACAATACTTATAGGTGAAAGCAAGTCAGTAATTCAGTTCTTATTTTTTTACGTCATTAAGCTCTGAATACAATTCTCATTTCCTCTTCAGATAGCCAGCTTGCTAATGCAAGGCTTGGCTTTGGCAGTGCTGGCTGTTGGCTGAAACCTTTACATTTCCCACTTCTGTTGGCCACAGTTTAAGCAGCAGAGGCTTTGTCCAGCAGAATCCAGCCTATGCATTCCCAAGGAAAAGCAATTGAATCAGCAGCTGTGCCGTGCAGGGCTAAACCCGGCTTATCCCCGACCTCCCAAGTAGCACAACACCATCCTTGGAGATGACCCAGTTTATCAGAGACATTCCTGGCTCTCTGCCAGCCCCTCATCCCCCACAGTGCAGCAATTTCTGTGGTGCAAATCCGGTGTCTATAATTGGGGTGAATAATTGCACGAGTGGAGTGTCCTCATCCTGCCTTTGCTCAGAGCCTGCGCTTTCACATCGGCTCTCATGCAGCACTTGAAAATGTTTCAGGCCACGTGCACAAAAGCTATCCACAAATTTCAGAGTATTAATCAAAGACATGCTAAAAAATGGAAGAACTTGAGGTTTTATACATAACTTGCATTTATGCTGCAGCTGAGCACTGTGTGTGGTGTTCATTTCAATTGCAGTGAAATCATATTAAATCAACATTCAGTTCTGATACTTGGTGATGAAATGAGCTGAGGTAATGGTTATTTTTAGCAAACAAACCTCTCACAAACAAATTTGCCATGCCTTTGATCCCTGTCACTGCTTCTCTGTTATATTTTGGGAGGAATGGGAAGATCAGAAGCACTCAAAGTATTCAAGGCATGAACAAATCCCAGATTCTTCTGTACAAGCACAGTGTCATTTTGCCTTATTCACCTTTCCCAGTGACACCAGCATGGAGCTCTCTGAACCCTGACACTAATTAATACCTGTTTTCTTCAGAGGATTATCAATTCCCAGCTCAGGACCTTACTGGTATGTATTAACAGAGATTTCTGAATCATTCCACTACATTTCTCCTTTCCCATCTACCCCATTTAATATCATTCTTGCTTTTCAGTTTATTATTTCTTGATTTCCCACATACAAATTCTGAAGGTCTGCATTTCCCCTAACACACCAAGATACTAAACTTCATTAAAGCTGTTCCAGGTTACACATTCCTTCAGCCTGAGCTTTCAGCTTCAGGTTTCACCAGTGCCACAAAGCTGCCCCCTGTCAGTGACAGCCATGCCGAGCTTAGGCTGGACACTGCTGCTCACACACAGCTGCACAAACTCAGGCACAGGGGTGTCTGAAGGGACCCTTCCCCTCCTCCTGCTCACACACTGCTAGGTTCCTGCAGCAGAGACTTTTTGCATCTTTCCCCACTGGCTGGGTAAGCATCAAGTTTGCTCTGATGGAAGCAGAGGTGATAAATATTTCATAGCACCCCATTGTGAGAAGAGCTGTAACTGCTTCAGCATGCAGCCAAAATTAAAGATATTCTGTTAATATCTGTTTCTAAATCAAATTCATCTAAAAAGATTAAAAAAAACCAAAAAGAGATATCAATGCAATGAACAGTCTAGCAAAGAAATGACACTGAGCCCCAGTTATCTCACCCTAATTTCCAAACCAACCCTCAAACCACACAAATGACAACTCACCCTTCTGGAGATTTTGAGCTGGTCTGTGTAATAGTGAATGTTCAGCCTCAAATTAAACTGATTTTTAGATTTTTAATTATGATTCTTACTTGATCTATGAATGTCTTCCTCATATTGGACCAGAAAGTTCTGCAGTTCCTGTTCAGGCAGGATGCACTCCTTGCCTGCAGGCTCCCAGCAGACAGACAATAAGCCAGGGTGATTTGTGGCACTGAGCTAGAGCACATCACACAATAAAAAACCACCAGACCTGTCCCCTTTGCATTCCTCCAGCACTGCTGGGGGCCAAGGAGGTGCTGCTCTCTGCCAAAAGGCCAGGCCATGCTAAGGATGGTATTATTACCAAAGCAGAAATACCTTGAGGAATGTATTTAAATATTTCAGAGCAGGAGGAAACACTTCAGTCACTATTCCAATGGCACAGAGCAGGGGCAAGGCCAGGGCTCCATGCAGAGAGCTCCAGCTGGGCTCAGCTCCCTGCACAGCCTGGCTGGCTCACTCACACGTGCTCCCACTGACCCAGCTGAACCATGGTTCTCCCCTCCTGGAGGAGCAGAGAAGGTGGAGAGAATTCCCCAAGCTCCTCCTGGAATAGTTTTAAAACAAAAGGCAGAGCTGAGGTGCCCCCTGACTGACTGCAGGAGCTTTAATTAATTATCCCTGCCAGGGCTCTCTGAAGCTGCTCTGAGGTTTTTGCTCTCAGCTCAGTTGTTTCTCCTGAGCCTTGCACACCCCAGGCCAAGGAGGAGCTTTCTTTAGGGTTGTTCTGCCCCACAAATTCCAGCTGTGCTCCCATGCCCAGAACAGCTGGGGCAGCTGTCACACCTCAGCCCCTCCACTGCCCAAAGTGTGCCTGCACTCCTGTGACAGAGTTTTGCTCAAACAGCCAATGTGCAAACAGAGATACAAAAATCAAAATCTAGCACTCTCCACCCATTGCAGTATTCTCCTGTCCCAAACACAACAGTCTGAGAGCCCACACACCCCAAAGTGAAGCTCAGGGCAGACAAGCTCCCCCTCTCTCCCCCAAAATAGAACTTCACCACTACAGCCAGGCTTACCCAGAGCCACCACCTGTGTGACAAATGTTCTCCAGAGCACACCAGTACCTTCAAATCCACCCCAAACACAGCCCATCCTGCTCAGACCTCAGATGACACAGAACTGAAGCTCAGTCAGTACACTCAAGACCTAAGAACAGAAGTGAAGATATTTTCTCCCTTTTAATTCTCCTTAACTGGTACCTTCACTGCTACTTCTGAATCCTTGTTATCCTTCCACCACCCTGTGAAAAACCAAAAATCAATGCATTCATAAAGGCCACTGCACATGCACCAGGACAGAAGACAGAACTCTGGCATTTCCAAAGACACTCTCATGAGTTACTGAGAGGGTGATATTTCTAGACTAATATTCATTAACAATCAGGATTACATCATCCTACAGCAGAGCTGAGCACACAAGAAAGAGTTTCTGCAGAACTGCACAGCTTTTATTTCTCTCCTGATGCAGTTGAAGGACAGGGCAAGGGAAACAAAACATCAAGGCAGAAGATTAAAAATTCAGAGCATCTAAAAGACAATCTTCTCCATTTTAACCAAAATACAGATTAGCCTTTTTCCTGTTTGAATGGCAGTAATTGCCATAATGGCACTTCTACAACTCTATCCATTCTATTTCTGTTCCCTCACACTCTTTATTCAAAAGAATTTCACAGTTGAAATCAAAGTTTCTAGGAAGTAGGAGCTTTTTGTCCTTTGCTTGTCTTACCCCTGTGTGTACACAGCAGTTTCAGAGTGCCAAGTCCTCCACTTGCCCCCTGAAGGAGGCTGATTCTGCACTCACACTGGGAAAGTGCATCCACAAATCTGGACACAGATGTTGTCAAACAGATTGTATTAACCAAAGGGCTTTATGCATTTTATTGATTAAAAAGACAAATGAGTAAAGGTCTAAGGAAAAAGAATTCTATGATTACCATCCTTAATGGTCTCTCACTGAAGGAAAGACATTGAGAGGCTGGGGACAGAGAAGGGAATGGAGCTGGGAAGGGGCTGGGGCACCAGGAGCAGCTGAGGGAGCTGGGCAGGGGCTGAGCCTGGAGCAAAGGAGGCTCAGGGGGGCCCTTGTGGCTCTGCACAGCTCCTGACAGGAGGGGACAGCCAGGGGAGGCTCTGCTCCCAGGGAACAGGGACAGGAAGAGAGGAAATGGCCTCAGGCTGGGCCAGGGGAGGCTCAGGAAATCAGGATATCAGGAAATATTGGAAACCAGGATATCAGGAAATATTGGATATCAGGAAATATTTAATCACTGAAAGGGTTGTAAAGCATTGGAACACGTTGCCCAGGGCAGGAGTGGAATCACCATCCCTGGAAGTGTTCATGAAATGTGTGGATGTGGCCCTTGGGGACACAGTTTAGTGGTGACCATGCTGATGCTGGGCTGACTCAATGATCTTAAAGGTATTTTCAAACCTCAAGGACTCTATGATTCATGAACAGGAACCTCCACATCCTTGAAGGTTTAAATTTTACACCAGAGCTGCCTTCTACAGCTGGGGTCAGGTATCCAGCATGACCACAATGCCCAACAACCCCCAGTGCTGCAGGCAGAGGCCAAAATCACCCCACTCCCAGCCCTGTGCTGCCACTGCCAAATCTGAGCTGGCTCTGGCACACACCTGACCCCAGAACAGCACTGAACTCTAAAAACAACCTCAGCAGCAGAATTTGTACCTGCCAGGTCACACACCCGACCTGGATTACCTCACAACTGGATATTGGCTAAAACTTCCCCATTTAGCTGTGAAACTCTACCCAGGACACTCCCCAGCTCCTTGGTGAGATGCTCTAAAAGGTCATTAAGTGATAAAGGGAATGAGCCTTCCAGAAAAGAGCTGCATTTTAAAAAGCCTTCTCAAGAGAATTAGCACTTAGGAAAGAAAGAAGATGGATTGAGCACAACAGGATTTGTACAAAAGTACCAGTTCCTCTGGGAGATGCTCTTATAAAGTGCTCTCTGTACAAAAAAAAGTAAGTCATTGTACCAAACTCTGCAGAAATGGGAAGTGCTTCAGCTGAGACCTAGAAAAAGTCTGAGAGAAAACACCATTAATGTGATGGTCCTCAGATTCCTACTTATACAGGAAACTGCCACACTCACACTTTTTGAGGGCTAAAGAACTGAAAATAATAAAGGAAAAAGTTTTGGTTACAGCAGGAGAAAGCAAGGAAAGGCTCTTCCATTGCCTAGACCTCACTGCCAAGAGAGCAGGCACTGCCAGGGCATTGCCAGGGCATTCCCAGGACACTGCCAGGACACTGCCAGGACACTGCCAGGACATTGCCAGGACACTGCCAGGGCATTGCCAGGGCATTGCCAGGACACTGCCAGGACACTGCCAGGACACTGCCAGGGCACTGCCAGGACACTGCCAGGACATTGCCAGGGCACTGCCAGGACACTGCCAGGGCATTCCCAGGACACTGCCAGGGCACTGCCAGGGCATTCCCAGGACACTGCCAGGACACTGCCAGGACATTCCCAGGACATTGCCAGGGCATTGCCAGGACATTGCCAGGGCATTGCCAGGACACTGCCAGGACATTCCCAGGACATTGCCAGGGCATTGCCAGGACATTGCCAGGACACTGCCAGGACACTGCCAGGGCATTCCCAGGACACTGCCAGGACACTGCCAGGGCATTGCCAGGACATTCCCAGGGCATTGCCAGGACACTGCCAGGGCATTGCCAGGACACTGCCAGGGCACTGCCAGAGCATTGCCAGGACATTCCCAGGGCATTGCCAGGACATTCCCAGGGCATTGCCAGGGCATTGCCAGGACACTGCCAGGACACTGCCAGGACACTGCCAGGATATTGCCAGGACACTGCCAGGGCATTGCCAGGACACTGCCAGGACATTGCCAGGACATTGCCAGGACACTGCCAGGGCATTGCCAGCTGCACAGACTGGGGAGTTTGGTTACCATGGCAGACACTTCTCCAGTTGCTGCTTCTGCCAGAGCTGGGGTGACAGAGCAGCCCCTGGCTGCACCATCCCACCTGAGGCTGCATTTGCTGGTAAGGAGGCAGAACTGACACCTCTTCAAAGACAAGCTGGAAATGCTGAGCACTAACTAAACAGAAGAGTTGGGCAGGGTTTTGTTTCATACCTTGTGTTATGGTTTGGAGTTGTCTGTGAATTGAGGACACCAAACTGGCTGATTCTGCTCCTGTGAAATGACATTTATCTGGATAAAATTAGACTTGATCAAGTTCCTACAGCCAGCACTGACTAATTCTGTGCATGTGCAGAGAAGCTGCAGAGGGAGTTACTCTCCTAAGCATTCAGTTGCCTCAATTAACAACCACTTCACTTTCAATGTAAAAAAAATATTCTGAGCTCCAAACTCTCAGTCCTGATCAATTCAGATGCTGTGTTTGAGCTAAGAGCACCATTCCTACCTGGGCATCACCTCACACTGGATTACAACCTTGACCTCCTTTTAAGTTAGACATCAACTTCACCTCAACTGAAACACTGCACCTGCAGATAATGTTTGTATCAAAGGAAAAAGGGAAAAAAACCCACCCAAGGTAAATAGAACTGACATTTTCAAAAATGCATTTTAATCAACTTTTCATTGCTTTAGATACTTAAATGAAAATGTACTTACTGCTCTTTTTCTGGAACAACCTGTAATCCAAGGCACAGTAAGGTTTCCTGAAATCTGCAGAGGGGAAAGAGGAAACAGAACAGAAAACAAGAGCAGCTTAGGTTGATGTGAGAGCCAATACTGAGACTTCAGCACTGTACATTCAATTCTGACACCAATGTCTGTGAACAGGTTACGACTGAAAACCAAAGTCCCTCTCACCTTTACTGCCAAGAATAAACCATTGTTTCTTTGGGTGAGGGCAGGATAATACAGTGGGTGTTTCTGTACTTTTGGTACCCCAAAGCTTGTATTTCACAACAGCAGTTTCCCTTTCCATCTGGCAGGATGAGCAGACTGGAGTCAAACAAAGGCTGAGGACTGAGCTGCCTTCACATCTTTTCCAATTACATCATTTCAGCTTCCAGAAAAAATGCTCTCATGTTTGTCACTGAGCTGTTCAATGTCTGATGTTAAAGATTTGAGTACCAGAAGAAATTATAGGGATGTCAGGATGGAGAAGGAAGGAGAAGGGGTGTGAAGGCAAAGGAGAGCTGCTTCCATTCCTATTGCTTCTCCATCATTCCCAGAGATCAGACTTTATTAAATAAAAATCTCAGAGTGTTTTCCCTGACCATCTGAGGGAAAATAGCCTGGAATATTTTAGACTTATTTAAGATTCCATGTTCATTTTCTGCTGCAGACAAGCAATGCTTGAGAGACTAAACACAGCTCTGGAGAGATCAATCACCTGTGAGGAAAAAACCTGTGCACTTCTGACTGACCCAAACAGCTCTGAGAGTTTCTGTATTGGCAGAGTTCTCACTGATGACTCTTGCAGCATGAGCACAACAAGCACAGCAGCCCTGGTACAGGTGGCTGCTGTACAAACACATAAAACACTTTTATTCTTCAAGCTTTTAGCTGGAAGCATTTGGAGGTCACCCAAAGTCAGACACTTTCTCATGACAGCACAAAGAGGGTTGAGGGGGATGAAAGGAGCACTCTCCCCTCTCAAGGGCCATTAGGGTTTGAGCCTAAAATATTAATTTCTTCACTGCACACAAACATTTTAGAAATTCTGTCTGTCTGTTATAACCCTATATCCATCCCTCACAAGAGCTTCACACCACAGAATCCACTGCAAAGGGACCCTGAGGAATCACCCAGGTGCCTCCTCTTCACTCATTTAAAGGAGGCTACAAAAAAAAAAAAAAGTGGTTTTCTATGGGAATAAAGCAAAATCTACCTGGCAGAGTGTTAAGGGTTGCTGGGAAGACAAATGCACACAGTTCTGACAGGGATAGGGCCAAAACCAGCCAGGTTCATCTCACTCCCTGGAGTACAAAGTGTATGGCACTGCTCTGAGCTGCCCTTGTCAAACAGGCACAAGGGCTGGGCCTGGGAGCAGAGTAAATAAAAATACAGATCCTCAACAGTGTTCCTGTCCCTTAGGGTGGGGGGAAGAAACCAAAAGTAAATCCCAGCTCAGCCTGGAGGACAGCACAGGTAACCTCTGCACTCCAACACGCTCAAAGTCAAACTGAGACAAGCAAGTAGGCTGAAGAATTTGTTTACTGAAACTGCTCAGGCATTAAAATTGATCACTTAATTAAATTTAGTCTTAAGTTACACTAACATGAATTTGATTAATTGAACCAGTAAGGAAGCTATAACTAATTGCTAATTAGATACCCCACCAATATATGACAGTAATTGCTTCATCAAAACATGAATCACACAGTCCTGACTTTGAAGAAGCATCTGCTTGGATGTTCAACTACTCCAATAATCATTTAGCTCAGGTTTAATCTATTTTTAAACTCAAGAAGATTTCCCCAAGTTTAAGGATTTTCATCTCTGTGCTGATGGATAAATTAGCTAAACATGGGCAATAAATTAACATAAACTGACTCCAAAAAATGAAATGTCATCCTGTACAAGCCTAAAAGGATTCAAGCACCTTAGAAAGTCTCTAATACCCAGAAGTGTCACCTCAGGGGTTCACAGGGTGCATGCTCACAGCAATAAGGGAATTAACAGCTTCCTGCTCAGCTTTTCCAAGGTTTAAAACTCTGGGATGACAAGGGATATGACAGAAGCTTCCTCCATCCACACTCCAAATCCAAAGAACGGGCTGTGACAGGCATGGAGGTCAGCTAGGATACAGATCAATTCCTCACTTATCAGAAAACCAGGTGTGTTGTTACAACAGGGGGAAGTAAAAAAAACCCAAACCAAAATTCCAGAGATCTTATTCTGATCCATAAAACACCACACGAGCAGATAAAATATCATCTACCATGAACTGTTCTAGCTCTTCAAAAAGACTCAGTTCCTATCCCATAAAACCCCCCAATAAGTTATTCTTATTTTCACTAAAAAAAAAAAAAAATAAAAAGAAGAAATCAATCTCTCTGATGCTTTTCCAAGAGTGAAATAAAGTACCATGAGCACACAGCTGATGGAGGCATCAGTAATGGATTTCCCTTCCTGAAACTTTCTAAAATGCCTTTAACTCAATTGTAAGTACTTCCACCAACCCTTTATTGGACTGATTGCACATTTACAGCTTCTCTTCTCCTGTGAAACTGGGATGGCAAAAGTAAACAGCATTTCAGGAATTCTATAACCAAGTAAGAAAAGTAACAGCAAACACTGAGAGACTGTGTGAGAGCAAAGGAGAGAATGGCTCATCTGATGTGCATCTACTCCCCAGAATTTACCCTCTGTCCATCAAACCTCTGGTGTACCCAGAGAAATAATAATTCAGGTGAATACTGGCACTGACTTGGACTCAGAAGCTTTCCTTCAAATGGTCACAGGAGATAGGAACAAGTCAGGAAAAAAAGAGAAGAAAAACAAAAAAAAACCCTAAGAAAAACATGATTCACAGTCTCATTCTCTACCCTGGTGAGCAAAGCAGAGGAAAAGGTGATAGGCTGTCGACATGGTTTATTTTCAGGAGAAAATAAAAAGGCAATAACAGGCAAATGCATGCAGGTGAGACACACACAGAATCACATTCTGTCAGCCTTAAAAGACTTTTACCTCAGTGTCTCCAGGCTATGGCATGCCAGATGGTGTAAAAATCCATGAAAAATACCAATTTGGATGTTTCCTGCACAAGTATCTCTCCCCTTGTAATACCAAAAACTAAAACAAAATGTGTCAAGTGCTGCAGTTTCTCCTAAACATCTTTTAGTTCTTCAATGATCTGCATTTAATTTCCCCCCAGTATCACTAAAGGGATTTTAGTACAGGAAAAGGAATAAAGGGATTGAATGTAAAACTGATTATTTGAATTAGATGCTGTGGGAAAGGAAGCTGAGTTAACTCCATCACAGGGGATCCTAATCCCTGACAGAACACAGAGACTGCCACCTGCACAGGGGGTGCAGGATTCCAAGCTGACACCAATGGAGTCAGCAAATACAAAAATGCCAGCCTGAAACCACATCTTGTGCTACGTGTGATGTGTGTCCACAGCAGAACACCCAGGGAATGGCCATGGCATGTGCTGGAAAGCCAGGGCAGGACAACACAGGCTTGAGCAACCACCAGCTCGTGGGTATGATCCTCCTGCAGTCAAAACTTAGTCCTGGAATCCATGAAATCCTCACTGATCTTCACCATACGGCTACCAAGGGCTCAGCTGGCCAGGTAGAAGTGCTACCACACTGCAGGGCTGCCTGCACTGGGTTTGAGAAGGAATTATCTCCACTGGAAAGCATAAAAGGAGCACAGCCTGCAGAAAGGTGAACCTATTGCTTAATAGCCACCAACTCTGAAAGGAAACAGCATTTATCTACAACCTCAGCTTTGATGCTTGACGACAGAGATAAACTGATGGATTACCTGGTAATTATTTTGGTTTTGTGACAGCCTCAGTTGACTTGAAGATGTAAAATGAGGAGAAAAGGTACTTCTGGCTGCGCTGGCAGGGTTATAAATCGTGCTGGATGCTGTGTGCAATGAGGTCCGTGCGGGCAGGTGGAACTCTCTGCTGTGGTAGAGGAGATTGTCGGGCCCGTCGCGGGCAGGGCCCAGCTGTGCCCCGCAGCCCCCGCTGCGGCCCGGCCCGGCCGCGGCCGCGCTTTGGTTGTCCCCGCGGCCGGAGCCGCTGCCCTCACAGTATCTGGAGTAGCTCTGGATCTGCGCCCCCATGGAGGCCAGCTCCTCCTCGCGGGCGTACTCGTCCTCCACGTCGCCCGTCTCCATGGCGATGGACAGGCAGCTGCCCTCCAGCGAGGGCGCTTTCTGCGCCGCGCTGCCCGGCACCAGGCGCTGCGGCTGGTCCGTGACGGCCAGCGAGAACACCTCGCGGATCTCCAGGTTCTGGGTGCCGCAGCCGGGCTCCCTGGGGTGAGCCCTGGGCCCCGGGGCCACGTGCGGCGCCAGGGCCGCGGGCTCGGCCTTGTGCAAGCGCTGGCACGCCAAGGGCTCGGCCCTGCAGGGCCGGTGGCAAATCATGGGTTTCTGAGGTAACACCAGCTCCGCCGTCTGCACCGAGGAGCTGCCGTAGCTTTTCTTCGTGTGACTGTAGATGGAGTTTGCAGAATTGAGCACGCTCGTTTGCCTGGACAGAATAATGGTCTTTTCCCCCACCAAGAGGGAAGCGTTCTTACAGTGGGGTACCTGCCGTCCCAGAGGGATGTGCTGCTGCTGGAAGTCCGCGTCGCTCTTGCCCGGGAGCCGTGGGATGGAGGTTTTGTGCAGCTCTGCCACGGAGGCGTTCGTGTGCTTGGCGGCTCCCGGGCGGCCCGAGGAGCCGGCGGGGCTGTAGATACCGGTCACTATCACGTCGTTGTTAGAAGAGGTCCAAGAGGATTGCTGGCTTTGGGATCGAGCGATATTCACCACGTTTCTCACCGCTGCTTCCGGGGGCACGGAGGGAGTGGCGGGGGCAGTGCCTGGGGGGGTGCCCCCAGATTCCACGGCGATCTTGCTGCTCATCTTCCGCCGCTTGTTGCCAACCCACGTCTGCAAACAAGACAGCAACGCCAACAAACACAAAACCAGGCGTCAAAGAGGCAGAAAAGAAATTAGCAATTCCATTTTTAAGCAGGTCTGATGACATGTTAAGTGTTCGAGTTGAGATGTAAGTTTACAAATATGTAAATCATGTACTGATTATGCAGTGAACATGACAGGGTGGAAATACAGGCCTGAACAATACAGGGTAGAGATCCAGGCCTCCTCTTTGGGATCCACAACTCATACACAGGACAACCCCAGCCTCAATTCCAAAACTCCAGCTTCTCAAAAATCCTGATGCCTCCTGTCTTGAAGTGTCAAGATTTATTTAATTGACACCACCATGACTAGTTTCATACAGGAAAAAAAAAAACATCTCTGCCATACACTATTCTGCTCTACTAATTTTTTGTCAAATTTTACAAAATGTTTAATTTGAGGCACAATTTGTAGCATGCAGTAAAATGTCAGTTAGTGGTCAGCTTTGCAGTCCCATTCTCCTGACCAATTGTACTTAGGGAATTCATGTGCCTATTATAATCCTATCTGCAAGTGCCAGCTGCAACTCAAGTATCATTTTGCAAAGAACTAATCACTGACCAAGAGTTTCATAGGCTAAAAAGAAAAAAAAAGGGAAAAAGGGGGCATTAGGAGAAGCAAAAATGATGGGTGTAAAGAAGAGAAAGGTAAGATCGTGCTAAAATGTGACAAATGCAGGACAGACACTGGATCTGTCTCCATTCTGAAGTAAGAAAAAGTTGAAGTGCTGCAAATCAGGGCTCAGGAAGGGAAGAAAGCAGAAGGAATGATACTTGATTGCAGGAAGGGAAATGGAGAGGGACGGGAAACATGAAGATGGAGAGAACTGCAAGGAGAGGGGAGCTGGGCTGCCTCCTCTAGGACATTCAATCAGCACAAAAATAGCAAAGCAGCCCTGGCTGCACCATCAGCATCCAGATTCCTGTTACAACTGCCTGCCTGCCCCAGGGGCCTGAACCCCTGCCTGCCTTTCACAGCTTCTACCACCTCCAGCTGAGAAAGTAACTTTTAATGTTTGCAGAGCTCTGAGAGAGGGGAATCCAGGTAAGAATTTGGGAGCAGGGTTGTTATTGTCAATGTGCCACTGTTAAACCAATTAAAAACCAACCCAGACTGGCCCCCCTTGCTCCTCCTCAGTGTCCAGTGTCACAGCAGCTCCTGGGAGCTCCAGTACCCTTTGTTATTTTTCCATCTAATGCCTCAGGATTTCTATTTCTGCTCCCTCTCGGACAACAGCCATTTTGTTGTCTAGTGTTTCACAAAGGGATTATTATTTCCCTTTCTGTGGAATTCATAGACTCTGGAAGAGCCCCTGTTAGCACTGGGACATTCTTGTTTTATAGGAAAAGAATGTCCTCACTGTGAATAACCACAAAGGACCACAATATTTATGATTGTGATGTGGAATACAAGTGTGACAGAGTGCATCAAAAGAAATAGTTCCACAGTTGTTTCCCCCAAATATATTAATTTATAGAAACTTATTTAGCTTAAAAATAGTTTCTTAATAACATGACCTTGCTCTGATACAATACATTATACAAAGTTTCTATATGGCAAGCCACCCTATAATTAATAAATAATAACTTTAAAAATCCCAACAAAAGACAACAAAAATCCTTGTGCAACCCAGGCCCCTGCTAAATTCAACAGTCATGTGAAGATATTTCAGTGAAAACAAACTCTAAACAGGCTTGCTGGGTAAAAATGAATGTCACACACACACACACACACACAAACTGAAGTCTGATTTAAGACAAGGATAAAGTGAGAGACTCCAGACCTCTGTCTATTTTATGTAATGCAATGAATGTGTATGCTTAACAAATTTGGAAGGCCTCAGTACTTACCCTGACCACGCTGAAATCCAGTTTAGTTTCTTGTGCACACTGCAATATGAGCTGAAAGCAATTTTTACTTTGATTTGTCATTCCATTTTCATAGTAACGCTGCAATATCCTTTGTTGTTCTACAGTAAATACAGAACGCAGATTCATCTGAAAGGAAAAGGAGACACTGAAAGCTGGGTGGGAGCTGCAGCTGTGCAGGAGGCACAGCTCTCATCTGTGCCTGTGATAATGCTGAGGACTGACATGTTTTCTCTACAGAACCTTTTACCAACACTCTCCCTGACTTTCCAAGGAAGCCTCTTGCAGTCAGAGTTGTGTCAAGCTGAACAGGTGAACTGGATGTTTGGAACAACAGAGACTGCTTTGCACAAATAAATAAATATTACAGGGTATTGGTAAGCTCGCGAGGATCTAGTTTGAAAAATAAAGTTTCTCCCTTAAAAATGTAAATGAAATAAAGGCATTAGGCAAAACAGAGAAACATCAGCAGCTCCAATACTGGCAGGTCTGTTTCCCACCCCTAACAACAAAAACCAGATACAATCTGGTATAAAATCAAGGTGAGTGACACGAATAAAGTTTCCTATGTCTCCAACTTCAGCAATTCCTGCACTCCACAAGAGCCAGTCCTTCTGCTGTGTCAGTACTGGCACTTCCAGCTGCAAAGTCACAAGGATCAAGGACCAAAGACCAATTTGGGGGAAAGCCCCCAAGGAAGGGCTTTGGGGAGCCCTGGTTTAACAGAGGAGGGACACCCATGTCCCAGGCTGAGAAAGGCTCTGCTGCTGTGACACCCCCTGAAGGCTGGAAATCTGCATTTTTAAGAACAAGTAAGGGTTGTTTTCCTGGGATATAACCAATGCTGGCTTCAGGACCTTGGGATGTGCTCCTGCTCCTTGGCTCTGTCCAAAGTGGTGCTCTGTAACAACAGCAGGGGTGAATAACAAGGGGCAGAGCACTTCGAAGTGCCAGCAGCAAAAACCCCACTTTAATGTTACAGCCTTTTTTTAGCCAGTTTTCCCAGTTATTGTGTTTAATTCTAATTGGTTAGGAACTTTCTTGCCACTCAGTTCATTGGTTAGAAGGTGCTTGTGTGTGCACAAGCTAAGGCTCTCTCTTTACACAGGTGTTTACATCTTTTCTTTGTGGATTCTCATGGGATAGAATTCTTATTTTTCATAGATGCCTTCTTTCAAGAATAGACTGTTATGCAAACTGATTCCCATTCTTATGATTCTTTCTCATGGGAACTTTACAGGCTAGCTGTTAATTCAGCTGAAATAGCAAGGGCTGGTTTTACAAGGCCTTTCTTTTATAAGGTTTTACCTCTACACAACAGTGCTCAGGAAGTCAACCAGGACGAGAGGCCTGGGTTCCTCCCGGGCCAGCAGCAACTCCTCAGGTCAGTTCCCAGCACTGGGTCCCCCTGAGTTTCACTGTGAGGACACAGGAGGTGGCCTGGACAGGGCAGCACTTTGATGAACTCATTAAACCAGACATTGCTTTGTTATGTGTGAAAATTCATGCCCTGGCTTGGGAAAGGCAAACACTATTGCCAATATTATCAATATTATCAAGCACACAACAGAGTCCTAACAGCAAACTGGAGCTTGATGCTCTCGTTACACAATCTCCACAGGCAAAGAATGCAATCCTCTGGGTAGATATCAGAAAAGAAGAGCCTCATCTTCACTGATTTCCAAGGCAGGGCCTTTTTTTGTCCCAGACAGGAGGCCACCAGCTGACACAATGCAAGTGCCAGCCAGGAACAGCCTGCATCCAACGTGGTGCCTTGGGAAGCAAAAACGTCACCAGCCACAAGTTATTTTAATGCAGTACATAAATCACAAGAATACAGAATGAACCAAAGGAGGAGAAACCTGCCAACATCCAGTAGCAAAATAAAGGGGATGAGGGAACCTTTTGTAGCCAAGCAGTTCTGAAAGTTCTGAATGGAAAGGAGAGGGGTGATCTACCTAACCTTTGCAAAAGAGCTGCTTCTAATAAAAAGCAAATAAAATTACTAGGAGCTCAAAAGCATAAGCAGAAATCCAACTGTTTTCACTTTATTCTCCAAGATGATTATACTATGTAATGGTAATGGATGTTAAGAGTTCAAGAGGCCTGTATAAAGAAAGAGATTGATATCTAGAATTTGGAGTAAAACACTTGGAGACCAGAGCTTTGACTTCAGAGTTTACTTTCCTCTCTACGTCAACAGGCAGTAGAAAAATCAGTAATTACCAATTTGTAAAAATTACTGTTTCTTTGAAATAAAGGATAAAATAGAAGATGATTTTTCAATTACATTTTTTACTTCTATTCTCTTATTCCCCCTCTCAATCCAGTGCATTATTAAACACAGCACCAGCTGCATTACAAGTCAGGTTTGCCTAAGTTCTGCCTCCCCTGAACCTTTATTCAGTCACAGCCAGAGCTGGCCAAAGGAGACTCTTGCTCTGAATAATCTACTCCTTAAAGAAATTTATAGCAAGCAACAGAGGAGACAATTATTAGTCCATTAACAGATCAATAAAGTTCATCATAATCTACTTTCTCATGTTGAGAACTGCCTTCAGATCTCCCATGTGGATACACAATGACAGGGCCACTGAATGATTTACATCACTCTGAAAGAACACAGAAGAGTTAATTTTGTGATTCTTTTTCCTCCTGCACAATTGGCAGCCCCCAGCTTCCACTCCTGTCTCCTCCTCTTTCAGTACCAGTGCTCCTGTTTTATTCAGTGGAGCTCAGTTCCCACAAATGACCTCATCAGAAACAGTTCTGAAACTTCCATCTTTTCAGACCCTGCTGAAGTCACCCCAAAGCTCCAGCATTTCCATACACAGGCCCATCACACTGTGCTCTCCAAACAATTCACCAGCTGCAGTGGACACTCCTCCAATGGCAACATGAATTTTTAAAGCCAGACCGGATGACCTGCAAGGGAAGACCCATGTCAGGTCCTTGACATGTTTTTTAATTATGTGGATTTCTATATCCAAGGTCACTTCTGTGTTAAAATGCTTTCATTGTTGCATTTGACATCTGTAATTTAGATGAAGACAGGGTGGATCATTTTGATTAAATCACTTGAACTTCAGATAAACCCTTGAGCATTGCATGACAGGCTTGGCCCAGCTAAGCTCAGGAGAGGTCATGCTCTGCTTTAATAACTCATTTTTACAGTGCATTTTAATTACTCATGAACTACACCTGCCAACCAAAGTCCTGGTAAGATTCCTTGGTAGCCTCTGCCTTGAATCCAGTAAAGCAGAACTCAAGGGTTCCCTGCAGAGACCATTAGAAACTGATTTGAATAAACAGATTACAGGATCCTCCAACCACAGAGTTATGAACTGAGTCATAACTGCTGTTTACATTACAACATCTTCAAACAAGCAGGTGAGATTTATTAAAGCTTTTTGTGTCATGGATATACCAAACCCTCAGTCAATGGACAGTTCTGTACCATCTTCCACCAATTCCACACCAGTGTGAAGGACACCTGGCAATATTCTGTCTCTGGCAGGTTGAAAGCTCTCTGATTAGTATTATGTCACCTGTAAAGTGCACATGGAAATCAGTTTGCTGTCTGCAGTTCTGAAGTGCTGATTCTGAATACCTGAAGCAGTACCCTGTGTTGAATAAACCCATTGATAGATGTTGGGAGCTCCCCTGGAAAACCAGAGTCCAGAGCCATCCCATTAATCCAGGAAGAGCTGGATTATCTCTGCATATCCCACCTGCACAGGCAACAAGTTCTGCTCACTGCCTGTGCCTGTGCCACCTGGGAATTCACCTACACTGAGGATATTCACACAGCTGTGAGAACAGAATGTTACTGGCTCTGAGACAAATTAATACAGGATATGTTCATCAAAGGATTACAGCGATTATTTTTTGGGGAAGTATTACATGTTCAGCATCAGTTTTCATAATTAGAACAAGATATGAGCTCTTACATTTTCTTTAACACAGGAAGTAACTTGCAAAATGCTAAATTAACTGAACATTGAGGCATCAGTATGAAAGGAATGAGCAGGTCATTCACCTTCAGCACAGACTATTATTCAAAACAACCTCAGTAACTTCCAAGGGAATAAACTCCTTTTCCCAATCTGTGCACCTACAGAGCACTCCAGTCTCTTCAGGATTTCTCACCTTTGTCTTGAACCTCAGACTCCAAGTTAGAAATCCACATGGATTTTTATCATAATTTCATTTTGATCTTGACTTGCCAAGCTTAGCAAACAAGCCTGTGAGCTTTTGGGAAGCCAGGTGTCCAGCTGGTTGGCAACACATTGGCACTGAAAAGAGAGTTTGTTACAGAAAAGAACTCTGTGAAATTTAATAAAATTCAGGTAAAGCACTATGCAAACAAGTTCCATGAATGTAAGTTGAATTTTCACTTTAATAAAAGACAGAGGTGGCAAAGCTGTATTTAAGGATTCAACATCTACCTGTTCTAATAAAATAAAGCAGCCTTGGCCAAGTGTGTTGGTGTCTCTGGCAGAGCAGAGAATAACCCATGAAGAAAGCTGAAAAAAGCAGGTTTTCCAAGGCTTCCCTTGCCCCTGCTATGTCCCAGGCCAACCATCACTGGTAACTGTGCACTCCCATGGTCTCCCACCCCTCAGCCTGCTGGGAACCCAACCATATAAAGATGGTTTTTCACTGTCTTTCTGAACTGAACACTAATTTAAAAATCTGCTCATTGTAAGATTCCTCTGCTGTGTCGTGGTCTGGGAGGTGTGAATGGAGTCCAAGTGCTGCCAGGCACTGGGGACACTGGGAGATCCCAGGCTGTGACTGCAAAGGACAAAGATGGGAACTCCGTGGCCTTCAGTGTGTCCCAAGGACAATTACATGGACACCCTGTGACTGTCACCGGCTCCTCAGAGATGACATTGGGCTTGTTCTTACAGCTGAACTTTTTCAAGCTTCTTTAGTGCCTTGAGCAACTCCTGCTCAGTATTTCCATTCCACCCCTTCTCTGGGAATGAGTGGAGAGGGGAGAGCACGCAGAGCTCCAGCAGAGCTGGTCCTGAAGCCGTGGTTGCCTCATGGAACAGGTACTCAGTGCACAATCCCAGGGTCTGCTGCAAACCCAGCCCTTCCAACCCATTTACTTAATCCAACATTCCAAAATCAGCAGTCTCTCCACGGAGACCTGGTGAAGCCAGGTCATTCCTTTTTAGCAACTAATGGAAACAACTCAGTGTCAAGGAGTGCCACAAAAGAAAGAGCAAACTATAAGGAAAGGGGGAAAAATAATGTAACCAAATAATTCAGGAGTTACTGAGCTGTTCTGGAATTATTTGAGAGATCTTGGGGGAAAAAAAAGAAAAAATAAAGGAACAGCATAAGAAGGAAAAATAATTTCTTCCTACAAGATACAGCAGTATGGTCTTAGTCTCCAAAAGTCCTTAAATGTTTGGATTGCTGAATCAAGTAAACATTTACAAGGTAAATCTTTATGCTAATACAAATTAATTTGAAAAATAGGAAACAAACCCATAATTATACTCACTTCAAACAGCAGTAGAAACTAGTCTTGGGTGTCAAATAAATAATAAATTAACTCAAGAGTACAAGCCACCAGGAAGAAACTAAGTATAAAAATATGTATGGTATAACACATTCTAAAACTGTCAAGGATTAACACAGATTGATAAAAGGGAATAATCAGTTTCTGAGAGTTTTCTTTTTTCACTTCAGCTCCAAAAAGTCATTTTCCTAGGAAAAAAGTCACCTTACAAAGACTATTTCTGTTTTAGTCTCTCCATCTGTAAGAGGTACAAGAAAATCGGCACACTCCCAATTTATGGTTTTTTTTGTTCCCTCCACAGATCTCCAGTGGCAAAAAATAACAAGTCCTAGTGCCAATATAAATGTGAGACAAAACTGGAACTATGGAAAGAAAACTACTATAGACATAAATAAAACAAGACTGCAGTAGTGACACTATTCCTCCAGCTTTAGAAACTTGAACTGAAAGAATCTCGTCCACTTTTCACCTCTGCCAAAAACTCACCATTTTTTGCACATCCCAAATGGAAAGAAAACAATCAACCAACCAACCCCCCAACTTACACACTATGTGGAGATACTGGACACACATCAAGCAAGAACCTTTAATAATCTGAATTTGTAGGTTGGTGCCTCTTTCCTACACAGGCCAAACCAGTTACAAGCACTCACTCTGAGGGCAGTGGATGAGGCTGATGCTTGGGTGAGTGCAATGTACACACCAGCTTGTAAAACTACTTTTAAATATCTGTGACTCGCAGCATAATTGCTTCCCTCTCCACTAAGTACAGCGTTTGGAGGATTGTATTACAGCCCTACCTATAAAATGCAGCCCTTTATTAGGGACAAATTAGACAGCCCTCAGTAACTTAATAACATAATAACCCATGACCACAACACTGCAGGTTTATGCATCCCATCCTGCTTTATTGATGCAAATGAGACTCCTGACTACAGCTGGATTAGCCACATGTTTTAAATAAAGCGTGTATGTGTTTTGTAAGACCTATGTCAGAAAAAAGGGAAGAAACATTACAATGCAGTGTTACTTTGAACATGTGAGCTACTTCAGGACTGCAGCTGGGAGGACACAGCACTACTTTAGGTGAGTTGTGTGTGATGTTATCCATAGAATGAGAAGGGGACAGAGCTGGGACTGCTCGGGCAGGTGAATGCCACACAAGCACTTCCAGGGGTGAGACCTCCAGAACAGCACAGCCAAGGACACATCCTCCTCTTCCTCACCCTCAAACACCTGAGGGACAAAAGCGTGGCAGCACAAGGCCCCTGTCCAATCACCGCTGGCTGTGCCTGGCACCACAGCAGGCCAACACCACGGAATCACAGAAGGGTTTGGGGTTGGAAGGGACCTTAAAGTTCATCTTATTCCATAGCCCTGCCAACACAGGCACACTGAGCCACTGGGGACACCGGGCACTAAGGACTGAGGCACCCATGACACAAGAGAACACAGTCTTAAGCTTTGCCAAGGTCTGTTTAGGTTGGACATTAGGAAGAAATTCTTCATGGAACAGGTGGGAAGACACTGGCAGGGGCTGCCCAGGGAGGTTTGGAGTCCCCGTCCCTGGTGTCCAAGGAAGGATGGAGGTGGCACTCAGTGACAAGGCGGGCATCGGGCACAGGTTGGACTTGGTGATCTCACAGCTCTTTCCCAACCTCAGTGATTCTGGGATTCTGTGATTCCACCAAGGAATGAGGCAATTAGCGATGACAAGACCTGTGCCAGGGGAGGTTTAGGATCGACATTATAAACAATTCCTCCACAGAAAGAGTGCTCAGACATTGCAAGGGTCTGCCCAGGGAGGTGGCAGAGTCCCTGTCTCTGCAGTGTTTAAGGCAAGGCTGGACGTGGCACTGAGTGCCGTGCTTCAGCGGCCGGGCCGGTGTGCTGGGGATGCCGGGGTGTTTCCCAGGCTGTGTGCCCGCGGTGTTTCTGTCACTGCCGTGTCCCTGTGCCCGCGGTGTTTCTGTCACTGCCGTGTCCCTGTGCCCGCGGTGTTTCGGTGCCCGAGGCACCAGCGGCTGAGGGGCCGCTGCCGGGCCCGGCGCGCACGCGCAGAGCGGCCCCGGCCGGCGCAGGCGCGCGGGTCCCCCCCTAGCGCGCGCGGAGCGGCTGCGCGCGCACGCGCAGTTCCCCCGGCGGCTCCCGGCGCGTGCCCGGCGCTGCCTCCCCCCCCCCGCTCGGGCCCGCGCCGGGGGGGGCGGGAGGCGCAGCCGCGCCTGCGCGCGCCGGGCGGGTCCGCGCGCGCGAGCCCGCGCGGGCCTCCCCCCACCCCCACCGCCGGGCCCGGGAGGGGGGGGCATCGCCGGCATCATCATCATCATCATCACCATCATCATCATCACCATCATCATCTTCTTCCTCCTCCTCCCCTCCCGCCGTGCCCCTCCCGCTCGGGGCCCCGCCGCGCTCCCCCCACCCCGGGAGGGCTCCCCCGCGCTTACCGTGCAGCGCGGGGCCGGCGCGGGGGCTCCGGGCTCGGCCGGGCTCGGCTGGGTCGGTCCCGGCGTCACACAATGAAATCAGCGGCCCCGATCATTAATTCTCATCATGATCGTGACGTGCGCGCAGACAGCGGCCAATGGCGCGCTGCGATCAGCGCGGCCCGGACGGCGCCCGCCCCCGCCGCCCGCCGGGGGGGCGCGCACGGGAGCGCCGGCACCGTGAGGGGACGGGGCGGCCGCAGGGCCGGCCCCGCTGCGGCCCCGGAGCCCCGCACCGCCCCCGGAGCCCCGCACCGCCCCCGCGCCGCGGGCCCGGCCCGCAGCACCCTGCGAGTGCTCCTGGAAAGCCATCCCTGAGATCTGAGGGGGAGAGAGACAGGGAAGGAACCCGCGATCCGTGTAAATGTCCCCCAGAGGGTGGTGCCGGCTCTGCCCAGCGACAGCACAAGGGGCAGTGCCCATAAACTGCAACGCGAGAAGTTCCACCTCAACACCAGGAAGAACTTCCTTCCATGAGGGTGGCAGAGCCCTGGAAGGGTGCGGAGTCTCTGGAGACATCCCAAACCCACCCGGACACCTTCCTGTGCCACCTGCTCCAGGTGACCCCGCCTTGCACTGGGTGATCTCCAGATCCTTCCAGCCCCATCCATCCAGTGATTCTGTGGGTGGCCATCCCTGTGACCCCACGGCATTGGGCAGCTCACGAGGAGACTCCCCAGTGAAATCCAAAAAGCTCCATGAAGGACCAGGGCTTCATTTGCATCAATAAATATTATAATGCACTCAAGAAATAAACCTTTTCTTTCCCAGGATGGATACATTTGGTCTGGGAAGGGAGGAAATGCTAGTGTGTCCAGGTGGGCAGTGCAGGGCAGGTGGGGCCAGCACCTCCTCGGGGCCACGGCCAGAGCTGGTGACAACACAAACCGCACACCCTCACTCCTGTGTCCTTACAGGGTCCAGGTACTGCCAGGTGCATCAGTGCCAGCCCTCTTTTGGGCTCCATTTCCCTTCCAAATGGAAAACTCCTCAACAAAGGAGCAGGAAGCACCCTGCTGGCCCATTCTGATGGATTCCGTGGTAGAAATCATGTAAAATCACTGTTTATTGGCTCGGCTGTAGGAGCACTGTGAAGTCAGAAGCAGATTTGAGACCTGTGTTCATTCCAAAGCCTCCAG